GGCCAGTCAAATCCAGCTGTGTCTGGACTCTGGCGAGAGGGCTACAAGTTGTGAGTTAGTTAGAAAAAGTAGGTATGTAGTCTTAGTGTCTCCTTTAAATAGTATATTAGTGTATTATAGTATAGTTATAATAAAGAAATCATTCAGCCTTCTGAACTGGAGTCAGACATCATAATTTCTTCTCACCAGGTTAACTGCATTACAATAATTGACCTACCCAGGAAGTGTTAATATCAGCACACAAAAGTAGACATTAGAAAAAAATACTTACATTGCTGTCCATATGGAATAGATTCAAGTTGCTAAGCTTAAGAAAAGAGGTAGGTGCCCCCTCCTGCTCATTAAAGTGAGTCGTGAAGCAAATTGCAGCATTTAAGATCCTGCATACCTACAAGCCAGATAACTTAGATTTTTTTTTAACAGCTTGTCTCATATGAGCTACAACAATATGCATCTCCAGCAGAGAAAGCAGGTCAGCATTGACAGCCATTCAGAAGGAGAGATGGTTAATTAAAAGAAACAAGCCAATTAAGAGGCAATTGGACACTTCTAATCAGGAAGATACTAGGGAGAAAAGAAAGAATATAAGGAACATGACTGTCTGAGAATACCCAGTATCCCCAGCAGAGGTTGGGGAAAATCTGGTGGTGTGGATGAGATTCATTCATTTCCTTGCCTGCAAACTGAGGAAGCATGCTATGATCAGACACTAGAAATGAAAAATAAAATCAAAATCCAAGCAACAGCACTACATTTTTGTCAGCTTTAAGCTTCTTGTTTTCCTTGTTAACAAGATCAATAAATTTATTTGCAAGAGAAAGCTCTATAATTCTGTAGACTTACAAAAATTTGTGAAAGACAGGATTACTGATTAACTCCTGATCAATGCTGAAGCTTTAGGGCAGTCTAGCAGCTAAATTAATACTTCAACTGTACATGCGGGATTCGAAACCAACTGTTAACACTCTTGAGTCTCTTGCAAAGCAAGCTTGCTCTCAAGGTCTTCAGAATAAGCATAATGGTCCTGGGTTTGGTCCCATGCACTGTAAGCACAATGAAATTGTGGCCATATAAAATAACTGAGAACAAGGTTAGAAGGAAGTCCAAGTAATAAAAGGCCATGTCACATGAAAAACTGACCTTCACTGAATTTTTGCAAAAAGAAAACATTGCAATCCTTTTCTAAAGAAAATGTACGATGCAACCTAACCCACACCCACTCCAAATGAAAGGTCAATAATGCTAAATGTACCTTTTTATATTGCCCAAAAAAGCTGAATATACTGGATCTGTTGAAGTGTCTAATACCAGCTAGAATCAAGAACAGCAGAAGATAAATTCTTCTAGAATGTATCAGATAAGTCTTCTTGCCATATAATAAAAATATATGGAGAAGAAGCTTTTACTTCAATCACCATTAAAGAGTTTCAATTCATTCCAGAGGGGGAACAAAAAAACAAGCACATCTCTGCTCAGCGTAAAAAGCAACAGTCTTTGTAATGGAGCAGAAGGACTCAAACTTTTGTCTCTTATTCAGAAATAAAGCTCTGTAAACACTGGGCCTACTATCAATCTATCTTCCTGATGCTCTGAATGACTTCGTCCAATAATAGCAAAGCCACTGCCCTGCACTGCTCAGACAAGGTACACAACCTGCTGAGACTTGGCTTCAGAGCAAATCAGGAACAGGACATGGGTTGTCTCACCATAGAATTTGGAGTTTGGGATTTGAAGAAATTACCTTTTTATTTTAAGTTACAAAAAACATCATCCTAAATCTGTATTTGAATCCACAAATGGTTCCTAATAGAATAACATGTTGATTAAGTCATCAAACAAAACACTCTGGTGCTGGTAGAAGCTCTGTTTCTGAGAGCAACTGTGTGTCAAGTGCAAAAACTGACAAATTTTGAGTTAACATCTAGCTACCTGACCATGTTGTCCTTTTCAGCAGCAAGAGGACAGATGCACATCTCACTTGGTCAGAGCCTGGTGCTAATAATACCAAGGGCAGGGTTTGATCCCTGTGTGCCCATTCACTTGAAGGGCTGGACTCAATGGTCCTTGTGGGTCCCTTCCAGCTTGGACAATTCTGTGATTCAAATGTGGAATCAGCAGGAATGTTCCTACCCGAAAGTGCACAGAAGGAAAGGAATCTCTGCCTTTCAATTCATTATTAAATCACTTGATGCAACCCTTATGTTCACAATCTGCAGCTACACCGAGAAACATAAGCAGTCCAAAACCTCTAAGGACCTTAATCATTACAGAATATGCAGGGGAACTTGTTGACAACTGCAGTAGTCATTTAAATCTGCTGGCACTTTTGGAAACAAATAGCTCTGTATAAAATCCAGTTGGAGCTGGTTTCTCCTCCTCCAGGTCTCTGAACACTGACAGCAGAACATCCCCATCTCTACCCACCAGGTGCTCAGCAGGGCAGACAATGAATCCTCTACAAGATCATGTGGAACACACGGGTGTTTTCTTTCCTGAGAAAAGCACAAAGCAATTCTTCAGCAGCTGTCACCAGAAACATTGTTTCTTCACGTTTTTTTTAGTGCTGGACAGCAACCATGGATTTTTTGTGGAAATAGTTACCCTCTCCAAAAGTGCAACTCTTCACTGTTAAAGTCCACAAGCAATAATTGGTTGGCGATGTTAAATATTTTCTGTCTCCCCATCAGAAAGCTATTTTATCATTAATTTTTGGTCAAAGCCCAACAAATCATTCCCATCCATCAGAGGAGGATGTGCTGCAGCAGTCTGAGACTGCAGAAGTCTCCAATCACCAGTAAGACATCCCTAAACTCTTGACCTTGTGTGCAGACCTTGTCTTTCCACTAAAGTGCTGCTCAAAACATCCTTCAAGATCCATAACTACTGATTTTATAGTATGTAAACTTCAAAACACTTATTTGAATTTTAAGGGACAAGGATAGTACAACAAAAGTCAAGAGGATGAAAGACAAGACCATGCAAAGGAGATAAATAATTTTGCTATATTCCTTTAGATTAAGTGTACAGAGCTTTTATGAAGCTAGTGAAAATCTTCTAGATGAGCCTTTAGGGCACATCAATTTAGAATTATTTTCTTTCTGCTCTGTCCTTACTAACATTGCTCAAAAACAATGATGAAAATAGTTGCCAGCAATGTAACCAAGCCTGTGAGAGGCACCATTAAGGCTTCTGTGCCTCAAGGCACATCACTTCTGCTCCTCCTTTTATTTTTTCCATATATTTAATTGAACTTGGCAGTAACTTTTACCACATGAAACCAAGACGGCAAAGCAGTAGATTTGATCTGTGTGCTGAGTCTGGACTGCCTTGCTGTGAACAGCTGGGGAAAGTGGTGCCTGGAGATTCCCTGCGTTTGAAATGGATACATGTTACCTGTCCTCCTGCTCCCACTTAGTGGAAGTTTTGCTCCACATCTTTTCCGTGTAGCAGCCAAAAGCAAAAAAGCCAGGATAGCAAACCTCTTCAGGAATTTTCCCTAAATGACATGTAACTCTTGATAGGGAGCACTGAGTATCTCACTAGCAAAGGTAGAGAAACCAGATCCTTTACCCTAATCCTCATGCTCTCAAAATATTATAAACCACGGGCAATCAAAACAAAAACAAAACTAAAAACCAAAATCTTGGATTAACAGTATATCTACAGTCCAGTCTCCCCTTCACTTTATTTTATGCTCTGTTTCAGCCCAACTTTGTTTGCCAGAAAGATTTTTCAAAATGGAAAGCAGTATCTTTTGTATTTGGCTGAAATCCACCATTCTAGGACATCCTTCCTGGCTGGAAGGTACAGAAACAACACTGCTAAATGTGTTCAGGACCAGAAGTATCTGCTCATTTGCAAAGAGAATAAGGAAAACCTCCAAGATAAGGGCCTGAAGTCTGAGATTAGATAGAAGTTCTAAGAGTCACCACACATATCTAATTAGCAGAAGTGTACAAGAGAGTGCTAGCCTTCTGTGTTTGGGTGAGAATGCCCTGAATTGGCACACCTGTAGGGCAGGATAGGAGACCAGTGCCATTCCATCCCAGAGATATCTGAAGCCTGGGGTGTGCTGTGGGTTGTGTGTGCTGGCAGGCAGGGGGTGCAGGCAAATACACCCTTAACTGGCCCCTTCTTCCCCTTTGTACAAGAGAGCAGAAATCAGGGTCCTTCCCTGCTCCTGAGGGAAGATGGACAGGGCTGGGGAGGCAGCAGTGTCATCCTCACTTGCCAGTGGCTTCACCTGTATTGGTCAGCAGCTCAGTGTCCAGCTCTGCAGCATCAATCTCAAATTACAAAGCATTTCTAATGCACAGGATCATAGAAGTTGGTGCAAAACCAACTCTGTCCTGAAGCTGTAGAGAAGAAAAAATTATGGCAATAATGGAAGGACATAATCAGTATTATTGTCATAATATATCTGTAGTTACTGCACTGGCAATTTTTCCAAATGGGTTAGCTTAGAGACTGGCCTCTTGCATTGATTACTAAATTACTTTCTTTACAAAGGTCTAAGTGGCTTTGTCTTCCAGATGAATAGCCTGAAGCCACTTGGTTCAGAGCTTCAGTCTCCTGAGATTCATCTTGGACAGTAAAGAAATGAGACAGACGAACACTAAACTACTCTGTCTAGAAATCCAGCAGTGGCTTGGCTGATGAGAACACTTTGTGTAAAGTACCACTGAATTTAAAATAAATCAGAGGTGAACTGAGCCTAGTCAAAAGTTGGAAGAAGTCAGAAGCAGTATTTGATAACAAAGCATTTTAAACCAAATAAAGCTTTCTGAAGAGAACTTTGGCTTACAACATCTCACTTCATCTGGGAGAGCTGCCTTGCCAGGCAAATCAGGAGCAGTGTGCTGGAACTGGCACTTTCCCAACCTAGCCACTGCCAGAATTCCAGCGTGCCCTGTTCCCCTTGCCTGCCCTCAAGGAGCAGCAGTTTCTTCATTTGAACACACAGTTATACATTTGCACAGCTCTTGCTGAGCAACACTTACTTTTTTCTTGAAAGAGAGCACCTGTGCTCAGGGAGGGGAGCTCTTTGCAGCCACTTGCACATCTGGTGGGTGGTGATGGCACGCTGCTAGCTGGGACAGGAGAAGGGAGAGGCCGTGGATGCACAGGGTGAGGATCTCACGCAAAACCACGGGGACGCGGGTGTACTCCAGCCTTGGCCCACATGGAACAGGATCTGGGCAGCACAGCAGGAAACAGGGAATTCGGCCCCTCTGGCAGCTGCTCCAAAGGAGGTTTGGTGATGAGCTGGGCAGGTTTGCTCTGCCTGTGGCCCTCCTAGCAGGAATTCAGTGGGCTCTTCTCAAAGCACTCTGAGCCTGGGGATGACACTGGGCTGAACACGCCAGGGAAACCTCTGGGGAAGAGAGATGGAGAGATAGAGATGAATGAAAAACAATGTTTATCCTTGAAATTTTAATGCCTTTTGCTTTTCTAGAGTATGTTTGAAACATGTTTGCTTTTCTAGAGTATGTTTGAAACAGTTAGATTAGTCTATTACAAAAAATTCCATTAATTGGACAGGTTGGTCAGCTGTGGCTTACTCAGAATTTGTTCTGGTTTTAGCATTTTATCATTAAACATAGTTCTGAATAATTCAAACCTCACAACGTCAAGGAAAAATTGCCCATAATTAACATATTCAAGTGTAAGCAGCTTTCATCATGCAAATACCAGCAAGAGCTCACACCACTCTCCCCCCCTCTACTTCACTTGTTTATTTAATCTGGTTTATCACTGAATTTCTTCTCTGGGTTCCACTGATGCAAATTTTCACTGGTTTGAACAGCTCCTCTGCAAACACAACAAGCCAGCTCCATATGGGAAGGTTTAATCTGTCACCAGAGCTTTTCAGCAATCAGATCCCTAAGCATTAGCTTTGGTAATTAAAGCAACACATTTGAAAAATTAGCAGAAGGGAATACACTGGCATATTTCTGTGCAATGGGGAGAATTTATACCTTCAGCAGTCACCAGTGGAAAAAAGCCAGTAGAGCATGCCACATGATGTTGCAGCACCCCTGGGCTAGAAAGACAAGTAATATGAGTCATTTAAAAACCAGAAACATTCAAAAGATAATTTAAAAGCTACCAAACCTCACAAAATCGAATAGATACATGAATCAATTAAAATCTCTATGAAGCATCCTAATTGAATTTTGCTGTAGTAGTGTCACATGGCTTTGGAAACTACCCTTCAGTAATCCAATCAAAAATTGGCATGTTCCCATCCCTACTTATTCTCCCTGATTCATGAAATATCAGAAGGAAATAAAAAACAAGGTGGAGGGATTCAGGAAAAATAAATACTAGTATTTAAATTTTGTCAGGTTCTTCTTATTTATGAATCTTAAACTCATTTATCCAAGACAGTGGATGGCATCCTTCTGCAAGAGTGAATTGTGGCCATGAACCACTACATATATCATGGAACACAGCATCACAGGCAAGAGGAGTCATCCAGCACAGAAGCCCAGGCCAGGGAAAAGCCTGACACTCTGTGGAGCTGAACGGCTCTTGCTCCAAAACATCCTGACTGCACAGCCCAAGGAAAAAAAAAAAAAAAAAAAAAAGGCAAAACTCCCCAGTGCACCCTACACCCTCGCACAGACCCCAGAGCCTGAAGCAGTTCCAGGGAAGCCTTCATGGAGAGGCTGTCCAGGAATCCAAGAAAGTCAAAATCTCTTCCCAGGAGTCTGCTGTGATATCTAGTAGAGCACAGAAGTGGTAAACAAGAGGGGGAAGGAGCAGGAAAATCAGCAGCAGCACAAAGAAGGCCCTGAGCAGATGTGTGTTGGCTGCAGCAGTGTCTGCCCCACTAAACCAGCCCCAAAGCAGGGTGAGCAGAGAAGCAAGAGCTTAGGGGAAGCACTCACATCTGTAAGCATGGAAAGTGGGAAATTACTGATGCAACTGATCTCAGCCTACCCACAGACCTACCAGCATATCAATATACCAAATATCAGACCATCAGTGCTCTCCAAAGGGAGAGGAAGCCAAGCAAGAGATTGTGCACAGAAGATTTGCACAATGTGTCTGTGTATAAGGGGATCCTGTAATGGACCATCCATTGCAGGTTCTTGGCTCTGCATCACTGTCTGTTTTCAAGTACCACAAAATTTCTGTCTTTGAAAAATCCTTTTTGCAACAAAAGTGACTCTGAACTGGTAACTCTTCTTTACCAGGCCACCCAAGATGGTGCAATTTATACTGCATATAGATGACAAACCCCAAGGAAGACTTTGCTATGCTACAGTCTGAGGCCCAAGGCACTCATGTTGGTGACTCTCCCAGCATCTGACAGCAGCTGATATGAACCTATGAGCAGAGGACAGACTGCAGCAGCTGCTCTGAGCCTTGAAGGAGCGACAAACCCCCAGCTTTACACACTGCACAGTACCTCCTCCTTTATCTTTTCTAAAATAACCTCTCAGGAAAGCAATTTCCAAAGTGACTAGTGTTACTGGTGACACACAACTAGGTGAAAGAGAGAATTTACAGTGATTAGGATAGAGCAGATTTATGGACTAAGAGGACAGGCAATGTGTGAAGGAAGGAATGAAATGTAATGAGGCCAAGAAAAAAATAAACACATGCTTTATTCCAACCTAAATAGACATGTACAATTAGACAGGAAACAAAATCTAAAACAATTCACATAATGCTTCATAGCAGTATAAAGAGAGAGCAGAAAAGATCTTGCAGCTCTCACAGACTTCACAATACAGAGAACAAACCAAGGGAAGACTGTAAGGCTAGTTGAAACATCCATATGAAATGGACAAAGAGCCTATCAATCTCAGGAGCACTTTTTGACACACTGAAAAATGTGAGACACTGCCAAACAGGCTTCCAGAAGGTTCAAACTCAGAAGACTCAGGAGACTGCAAATTCTTAGCTGTATTCCTGACTAGCTTCTTTATTTGGCTCAGAAGCAAAATTATCATTCAGATATTAGCAGTTTCGCTGTTCAAAGTCTAATGTATTTTGAACACTTAAACAAAGTCAACAAATGTTTAAATTAAATATAATCTGCATTTGCTTACTGATTTTAATTAAGTTGCTGTTCCCTTGAAAAGTGTGCTTAAAGCCAGTGCAATAGGAGAATAATGTTAGAGCATTTAAGACTCTGTGTAGGGAGTGCTGTGCTCCAGGACGGTTTAGGTGAATAGAGATGAGAGATCTCTGAAGGTTGCTCTTGGGGAATAAGGTTTATTGGGGATGCAGAAAGGTCCTGCCTCGAGCTGCCAGATGCAGCACATGGCAAGATTTGAGGGGATAGGGGAGGGGAGAGACAAGAGGATGCTCTAGGAGAGGGTGGAGGTCCTAAGAGGGGAGAAGGTCCAAGAGAAGGGGAAGTTCCAAGAGGGTGTCTGGCCCCTCGGAGACCCCTCATCAGGGGGCTTCAAGTTGGGCTGGAACAAGGCTCGGGCCAATGGGGTTACAGGCACTTGATGTTTTAGGGGAGGGTTACAGGTGTGGGGTGAACCAACCATACATCTTTTGGGGGGTGAGATGGAACAGTCCATTTGACTTTTGGACTTATCTGTAGGTAACGGTATTGTCCAGCCAGCAGGGAGGATTGTTTTCATCTTGGCTGTATTATTATGAATAATTATATTTATCCATCCTTCCCAACAACTCTGTACCATGATTAATATATTTTTCAGTATATTGCAGGCTGAATTTAGCACTGTAGTCAATGTTGCTACATAACTGCTCAGATTCATCTTTCAAATTAAAAAAAAAAAAAAACCAAAAAATTGAAAACTTAACTAAATTTTGAACTTCTGTGACAGAGGCATAGAAGAGTGTTTTACTTCATTTCCCGCCCCCTCCCCCATTTTTATTTATATTTTGAGTTCAGTTCCTTCAGAATTCCCTCCCTGAGCCCACTAGACGTGACAAAAGAGTGTCACAGAGATTTATATGGCTTTAGGAAGAAAAGTCACCTGTGCTGGCTTCCCACAATTATTTTCAAACATAAATGTTATAATCCTATTTAAGAAAAAAATTTATTCCTTGCACAAGGGTTGCAAAATCTGAATCCCATCCATGGGCTCCCCTCATACTAAATACATCCAAGAGCAAAGGGTATCCCACCCACCCCAGAGCACGTCCCCAGCACAGGGAATCTGCACAAGTTTTTTCTCTTGTAGTCCACAACAAATAAAAATATTTCTTCTATTTGTTTCAATCTCTGAAAATATTCCTGCATAGACTGTGGTTTCATTTTTATCACAACATGGACATTGTACTGGATGAATTTTTCTATGGATTAAGGGAGAGAGTCAGATGTGGGGGGACAGGCTGTGTCTGCCCTTTACCCCAGAACTGGGAACCAACAAATAGAACCCCAAAAAAAACCCCCCAAAAAACCCCAAAAACCACAAAAAAACACATAACAAACAAACAAACTAACAAAAAAAACCCCAAAAAGATCAAACAAACAAACAAACAAACAAAAAATAAAAAATAAAATAAATATTTAAACCCAGTTTCAGTAATTCTGAATATTACTAACTAAAGCAGCAAAAGAAAATTGTTATTTTGCAGAGTATAGCTTTCAGTTTTCCTTTGAGCGGCTTTGTGTCACGTAAAAAGATAATAAGAAGATAGCTCTATATGTCTGGAGGCCTGATTTTAAAAAATCTCTAATTCAGAACCAACAGCCACTTTCTGATCTAGAAATAAACAGCCTAGGACAAAATCACAACTCAGCACCCCACAGAAGAGTACTACACACACAGACACAGTCACAAGAGGACAGAAGATTAACTCTCTTTTTGATCTTTTGATGAGAATGACACAGTTTTGACATGAAACTGCATTTTCTCCAGTGGACACCAAACAACTCAGGGTAGCACAGTCCAAGAGAGGATTTTCAAAACTGCCATCCATCTAACTTGAATTTGTTTCTACCAATTCATCTGGTGACATCCAAAGTCCCAAGGCATGAGCACATTGCTCTTTCCCTGCTAAAGAGTCAGCATAGACAATGTAGGATATTTAAGTATTTTATAACACTCTTAGGGAAGAAAATTAAACAGAGCAAGGTACAGCCAGAAAAAGCCAGCAATAATATTTTCCACTACAACAGAATTTTCATTTCATGGAAGTTTGGCACTGGGTGCATAGGAGCAGGGTCTCTGCCAGCAAGGTAGGGTTGCTGAAAGCAAACACATTAAACCCACAGCAATTCTTCATGGCTTCAGCTTTGCCCTCTGTCATTCTCCTTTGTCCTGCAGTCCTTTGCACAGAGAATGAGACATATGCCAGTATCACTTTTTGCTCTGTCCCTCAGACACCTCTCTTCTGGCTTAATTTCCAATTAGCATTCCTGTTTTATACCCAGTATATAATTCATAATAATTTTAGTGCAGTCAAACAGTTCATCTCCAAATGAGAGAAAGGTTAATGACACCTCCTGTGACTGTCACTATATGCTTTGCATAAGAAAGGGAGTGGATTTTAAATAACAGGAGACAGCCTCTCCTGCAATGTCTCAGAGCGGATGATGTTCCTTCTTCATCACTGACCTTCAGCTGCACTGCCCACGTTTTCCAAACCAGGAGGTGCTTTCTGCCTTGACACTCTTGTACCCCAAGTAAACAGAGAAGGGGCCCAAGTATCCTAAGCCCAGATCGTTGTCTGTAACAGAGCAAAAACTGTGACTTGAAAATGGAGCCAAAGCACCAGTGACAAAGTGTTTGCATTGGTGCACTGCTGCGAGTGTCTCCTCCCTCCTAGAGCAGACACTCAGCTCAGAACCACCACACCAGGCCAGCCCTGGGACTGGGTTGGGCACAGGGAAGGGGTCCTGCTGCTCTGGAGCCAGGAAGGGTGACAGCAGTGTCAGTCCCTGCTTCACCTCCAAAACAATGCATGTGGAACCCAACCTATGTACTCAAAGACAGAAAACATTAGAGGGAACACAATGCAAACAAGAGGGACAATCTGAATAGGAGTTTGACCTAAGAGCCACTGACTACAGCCAAAATATTTCCATATAAGTAACTGTTGTTA